TGAAGACAGACTCTCACCCCCCCGCCAAGACAGACGACGATGGCCTCAGCCACATGCACGCACACGCTGTTGGTGCTGCAAGGGAAGGGCTGTGCTCGCACAAACAGCCCGTTTCCAAAGCAAAGCCTCACGCTGCTGCGCTGCAGCCTGCGCCACAACGGCCAGAGGCTCTTTGCACCCTGCTCCACGGTGCAACGGACACTGCCGCAGCTACTGGAGCTTCTCCTTTGCCCATCAGCAAAGAGCCAGGGGGCTCTGCCTGGAAATCACATTTCTCAGCTAAAGTATATTTTCTGAATTTAATTTCAGGTGAATTTGGAGAGGATGAATACGCAGCTAATGAACAGTAGTTTGTTTGAATCATACATCTGCATGCCAACTACAAATGCTTAGGTATTTATCAAATTGCAGAGATTTTTCAATTAGAAGACGTGGTAATTGAAAAATATTTCTCTCTATTGAGTGATGGATGCCATGAGCCTCAAGGACTTTAAAATCACATACCAATTAAGCAGCCCCCACCCAAACCTCAGGACAGCAGCGGCTGCTGATCTCCTCTCCAGAGTCACAGAACACCAAGGGTTCAGACCGGCTGACAGCATATAATCGGCTGCGTGTTTGGAGAGCGTTCTTACCTCAAAGCAGAAGTCTTGTCCAAGGATACTGCTGTGAAGTGGTTTGACAAAGACGTTTTCTTCTGACCCAAGATCCAGAGCCTCCACGGCGCTGCCTGGGCTCAGTAAAGACTCATGGGAACGGGACTCTTTCAGCTTTGGCAATCCACGTGACCTGCAGGAGAAGAAGGGGGAAAGGAAATATTATTTTTCTCGTAATTACCAAAAGCGCTGGCAAGATCCCAAAGAAAACTGCAACTTGTTGGGTGTTTATTCAGAACAACTTCTACAATTCATCTGTAAACCTTATGAAAATAACATGAGGCCAGTAATCCCAGACTCCTAAGGAAACATCCACCTACACAAGCCCAGGAAGTCCATTCCCACTGACCTAGAAATTGTAGCTGCTGAGCCATCAGTGAAAGAACAAAAACACCAAAACAAAAAGTTCAGAACTTCACTGCTGAAATTTAAAGAAACCCCCTAGACAGGTTTGGATATATTACTGAAAATATTTCCCACCATCTAGATTAGTAGATAAATGTTGTGTATTAACAGCAAAAAGCACACCAATCTCTAAACCAAAGCAGAACGAGAGCTACTCTCATTAGAGCAGACGATCCATCCACATACACTTGATTTTTCTTAACGTAAAACCTTTAAACGACAGTCAAATATGCAAATTATTTCCCACTTTACAATGCCCAGATTAGTTACCTACATCTAAATTCTGCATTTTCTTCTTCAGCTGTTTCCTCCAGTTTTAGGTTTCCAATTTTTTCTGATACCTCCATTTTCTTTTAATTTCCCTTCAGCGACACAGACTGCTTCTCTTTTTCAGCTGACTGTCCTGTCAGTCCCTGATCTCTGCTACCAGAGCTGGCATCACCCAAATGCACAGCACCTTTTTATTAAGGCAGTTTTCTCTTTGCCCCCACCACTTCTGAATACTCCCCAAAGATGCATCCCTCTCTCTACTATGCCGGAGCTTTTTGCAACCAACAGCAACATTGTAAGATGTGCTCTAACACTTTCTGTATTCTCCCAATTCGATTTGATGCCATGTTTGTGTGTAGCAGGGAGTTCTGTGTCAAACAGCACTGTAAAACGTGCTCGATTTACACGTGAGAGTGGCTTCATCTCTGCTCCTAACTCCAAACTGACACTGGATTGTAACTTCTGCAATAAAGTTATATGATGTTTTAGGCACAATTAGCATTTCTACTTCGAAAGATACACACTGTGTGCACAGACATTTTTTTCCTCTAGCTGGAACTCAGTCAAAGCCTTCACAGATGACCAACAAGGAGGAAGAGCAGCTCCAAGTCCCAGCTTAGCAGAAAAGAAGCTGTTTACCTGGCAGGTCTAGATTTTGTTAAGATACTGAAGCTCATGCTGGTCCCTATGCCTGTTCAGTGATCCATGGGAGTGTGTCTGTAAATGTGGCTGCACACCCAGTAAGTGTGACAGCACACAGAGCAGGTGTGAAGGTAGAGAGGCATCAGTTGTCTGTACATCTAAGCAGAGAAAAGCAATGCTCCGAAACGATGCGTTCTCACCTCTGTTTGTCCCCACAGTACTTCCTCTTTTATTCAATTCCCAGTATGAAGGCTCAAGATCAAATGGAAAATATTTAAAAAAAAAAAAATTATTTATGGAGGAGTGAAAAGCACAGCTACATCTAACATCTTCCTTTATTTGGAAAAATATGTAGTTTTTCTACACTTCCCTCACATATCTTATACAAAAAAATCCTCACAACTTGTAACCTCAGCAAGATCAAATTCCTCCTACCCTCGAGCAATCCTACAGGCAAACAGAAAGGAAAAAAAAAAAACCCAAAACAAAAGAGTTGGAAAAGGCATCTTCAGTACTTCTAAGGCTGCTTAACAAAAACTTGGGTATCACGAAGGACACATGCAAAGCAACGAGAAGAGTTCATCTGCCTGCTCTTTTGTACAACACGAAATGCTGAAGGTATTTCGTGTAGATTCACGTACGATAAGATTTATTAAACACTAAGAGAGAACTTTGTTCCCATTTAATATATTGAATGGCCTAAGTGCAGGCAGCAAAAGCCTTTCATCCGAGGGATATTACAAAGACACTGATTTCAAATGCAAACCAGCAGCAGCGGTACAAATGCGTTGGCTGCACTGTGCATGCTTTGTTATAACAGGTTCCAGCAGCAGCTGTACCAACGCAAACCCCAAACCTCAGCCATGTATAATTGAGCACTTGCTGCAGTTAAGGTAGGGCAAGTCTAAAATAAACACACCACAATACACCACTTTAATAACATCTCTGCAAAACCCTCTCTAATTTCTCCTCTCAAGAAAGCACTGCTGAGGTCACTTGGCTTCTGTCCCCTAGCCCAAACTCTCAGCAATTCCAGTCCTAAATCCACTTTGGTGCATGATGCAGGGGAGCTGGCGGAGAGCCTGCAGCCAACTCCTGCCTTCACTCCTTGTAATGCAAGGAAAGCGTGGAGTGGTCACAAAGAGAAGGAAGAGGAGGGAAAGAAAAATAATTACCAAATAAAGGAGAAAGAAAAAGAGATTTTGCAAATCCCCGTTAAGCGGAGGCTGCGCTTGGAGCGAGACAAAGGAAGCACACCTACACGAAACAACTGTACAGCCACCTAGGAGTGCATCCCCAAGTCATAGCGGTGCCACATGTCACAGCCCTTCCTTCCCAACTCCGTTCTCTGGGCTACATCTCGGACAATAAATCCTGCCGGGAGAGGAAGAAAGGCACAAAAATCCAGGAGGAGTTCTTCCTCAAGCCTTAGGTTACAAATTTCAGATGAGCATCGTGCCAAGTTGATACGCTGGCACAGGAAGAAAAGTCACAGCCACACCGGGAAAGAAATCTCCTCATCGGCTGCGCTCCCACCCAGCCCCACGGGTGACACGAAGAGGCTCCCGGGTGCTGTTACCATGGTGCGGGCTCCTGTAAGGAGATTAGGGGGTGGCTGGCAGCCCAGAGAGGCTGCTCTGCAGACACGGCAAAGGTGACCTTTCCAGAAAGAAACAAGTCCCTCCTCTTCCTTTCCTACGACAAGTTTAACAAGACCTGGAGAGTTAAAGACAGAGGGAGAGAGTGAGGCATCTTCCAAGAATGCCTCCAAACAGCCTCTGGGGACAGGGTGGGAGCAAAGGCAGGTACACACAGAAATTTTACTCCATGCTTCCACATCTCATCTTGCAAGCTACATCTTTTAGTAGCATCTATTCTGGTTCATTGCTCTTCTCACTAGTTACCTTTAGACACTTGTGTTGTTCCAGATCAGCGGGAGCATGGTTAGTTTTGTTGACCCAGGGTCACGGGGCAGAGGAACGTCTATCTGTCTGAGCAATCCCTTGAAGTTACCACATTTAAAACAGCTCAATAAACTGATTAAGTAGCTTAGAATTGGCACTTTATCTTCCCTAAACACCACAGCAATGTCGAGAAGATGCTGGTTAGATCCAACCACACACATTTACAAATGCGAGTCCATGCATCTGTAAGCACTATGGTATACATTTCATCTATTGATAGATCTGCAAAGCAAATCAGTGACTTGTGCCTAAATCAGCAGCATCCCAATCAATATGGGCAATAATTAGAAAGAAATAATAGTTCTCTGCTGCTTTAAAGCCTCATCTGATATTCTGAAGCTGTAAGTAACAATGAAGGAAAATTGCTGACTTCCCTTTTGCATAAAGGCCGCTAACATCCTTCCCAATGTCCAGCAAAGGGGCTGGATTAAGAGGGTCTTTCCAGTATGAGGTAGGAAGCTCCTGGTACAATGAGTATTGCTTAGAGTCTCTGCTAAGAGAGGGGTAATCCCAGGGAAGCAGATTACTGTAAACAGGAAGATGGCACATGCAAGAGGTGGGGGCAGGGTTGTTTGTCCAGATCTCTTTCTGTTAAACAGCTCCATTAATAACACAAATCCTGTTTAAATTACAATTAACCTCTGACGATCAGCTGGGGCTTTTTTTTCTGCTGCTTTTTTTATCTAGTGCTGCACACCACAAAAAGATTGCAAAGGAACAACCTAAGAGTTCAGAGTAAATAGTTACCAACAGTACTGAACAATTCCTACATAGGCATTCTCCGTAATTTCTTTCCAACGGGAAAAGGAGGTGGAGGAGGCGCATATCAGGGAACATTTTAATCTTCTCACCTCTTTCCACACGCTTTGGAGAACTGGTCTTCAGAGCTGCGTGATTTCCTTCTAAAGCAGAGCCCAGCCAATGCCCCAAACCACTGACCTGGCAGCAGAGTGCGACTGCTACTGAAAAAGATCTCTTCACCACCACCATCTTGCTGGCCTAACCCCAAGCTGCCCCTCTCTCCTTGCACACCATAATTCAGTATTTTTCCACTACAGGAAGGGCTCGGTTGTAAGCCGGGAACTAGAAACCTCTGGCTTTCAGTGACAGCCCATGGCACGCAGCAGCCTATTAGTCAACTTCTATTATATTCCACTGCCTATAAGGCACGTAGGAGAAAGGGTTAAAATCCTAATTGCTCTGGTTATGAAGCTCTCCTGCTGATTTTGACCTATTTAAAAGCCAACCTACAAAGCACAAAAGACTTCCAATTACTGAGCTTACCAGGGAGAGCGCTACATTGCTTGGAAAACAAGCCTGTGCACATCAATAATCTGTAAAATAAAAAATAAACCTATAGAAACCAACTACCAAGGAACAGAATCCCATAATCTGTTTCCTTCACCAACAAACTGGTGCGAAGGCAAAGAATTCTGAAAAGAGTTTTTTGTTCGGCCCAAGCACCCAGCTAAAGCCACGTCTCCACCGGTTGTACACGAAACTGTAGGTCTGCATGCTTCAAATAATCCCAGCACAATACCCGTGTGTTTAGAGACACTCCCCGAGAGCAGAAAGTTGAATTCAATACTCAGCCACTCGCAAAGTCACCGGAGAGAGCTTGGACTGTAACTTTCTGCTCAGCGCCGCTACTCGAAATCCCAGCCCTGCTGAGCTGGACCCCAACGTCGGCACCATCACCTGTGATACAGGTGCGCTCTACCAGCGCCGCAGCACCAGCATTCCCCGTGCAAGGGTTCATTCTGGAGGCACCACACCCCGCTTCGTTTTCCAACTGCCAATTAGCAGAACATCCTATTACCTGGTCAACAATTCTACAAGTCTAACCAGTTTTATTATTATTATTATTTTTTAAATCAGAAACTGCAGGTGACTTATTTCGATGCAAGTTCTACTCAGTCGGCTTTTTTTTCTGCTGGAGCCTTCCACTGAGATTCTGAGTTGTTGTTTTTTGCAAAGCCCTACCCAAAGCCTCACTGTTTGAACCCTGCATTTGCAAAGCCCTTCCCTGCCTGCCTGCTCTCCTTACAGATCTCAGCTTGTCCAACAGCCACCTCACACGGTGCAGGCAGAGAGGCTGCTGAATTTCACAGTGGTAGCGTTCTCCTCACTCCACTGTAACCGTGATCTTCTGCTATTAACGTTTCAAATTATTCCATTTTGCTGGACCAGAGATGCTTAACCAATTCATTTTACTGCTGAGCAATTTATAGGTGAATGCTCTGTGGAAGAGCCTGGGATTTGCAGAAAAGCATCAGTAATTAAGAAACTTTATGTTTTCACAAAGGGGTCAAGTGAGCCTGCAGTGGACAGAGCAGTCTAACCCAAAGGTGAAGATTTGTGACGACAGGCTTAAGGTTGAGATCTTGTTCACTTTTCACTGAAAAAACAAAACATGTGCATAAGGATTGGGAAAACTGGTTGAAAGAAATATGTTCACCAGACCAGGAGTGAGACGTCTCTCCAGAAACAAAACCACTCCTCCCCGTTGCCCATACTCCAGTATGCAGATAGAAACAGATAGGCTGAATGAACAGAAGCTCTGAGTGAGTCAAGCCTTAATAACGCATTGTGTAACACAGATTTTTTATCCTTAGACCTAAATCGAGATAAAAATCACCCACCTTTTTTTTTTTTAAAACCGTGATCAAATTAGAACGAACAAATACAAAAAAACACAGCAAGATCTGCTTCTATTATTTATACGATCTGTGCTGTTTTCATACTGCAAAGAAAGCAGGAGGGAGGAGCAAGAACTTACCAAAAGTAGAAGAAGCTGTCGTTTGAGCAGCGATACCGTTTCACCATGAACCCCAGAGCCATGGCTACCCGCTTCCCTCCAACCTGCCGGAGCCCATCCTGAGCAAGCACACCACTGCGCTCCACTACGACTCTCTGATAATGCCATAAAATGACTTTTAGTAAAGCAGGAGGATTCCCACGTGGCAGTAAATCCCAGCAGAGCAAAACCCTCCCAGCTGTCTGCCAGAGCTTTAGTGCAGTCGCTGAGACCATGTGCAGTCAAGTCTCAAGCATCTTCCCTCCCTCACCATAAACAAAACAGGCAAGAATGGTCGGTCCACTTGGAAATACTCTTAAATTCCTGGCTGCACTCTCAAAATATTAATTCGGTCTCTCCTTTCAAATTTGATTTCCCTCAAGTCTTTCCCCATGCTTTTTTTAACATATTTTATATATTACTGACACTGAGAAAATTTTAGGGACAAATGTGTGGGTTGAAGAGCTCAGAGAACGCAGTGGGAAACAGGCTGGAAAAGCTGTGAATGATGATATGGTAACATGGTGCCAGACAACCCCAGGGCCAGAGCTGCTGCTAACCCGGCGAGATGATGCACTGGCCACACCTCTGAGGAGCTTCATTCACATCTGGCGGGGGTCACAAACCAAACAGACAGTCTGTGCGTCCTCACGTTGGTGCCTCGTGAAGAAAAAACATGAGTATTCAAGCCCAAGAGGCTGCCCAGCAAACAACCTGAACCTGGAGTAACAGAAACGATGTGAATTACAGACTGAGGGTTTATACAGAACATCTGGGTGCTGACCCACGCTGGGCTCATGTCTGGAGGGGCACCGCAGCTCTCCTCTCCCCATCCACTACCCCAGTCACACTGAAACTAAGTTTAAAAGCCAGAAAAAGTAGGTTGACCAATTGCTTTCTGCTGAAACAGAAAATCTGATTATGAAAAAAGCTGCAACTTATCTCCATCGCTCCTTCCTACAGCATTCCTGAATCCTTTCTATTTTAAACCAGCTCTGAGCAGCCAGCATCCATCCTCTGTCACCATCTGGAACAGCATGCAGTGTTACAGTATCCCAGCTCTTGATGTGCACCAGGATAACTAATCTTACTTACTCCAGAATTTTATAGGTATTTATCTATAAACATCTCCTGTTTCCTAACAGAACCCAGACACCCCAAAAGCCTGAGAAAAGCAACATGACAGCAGCCTCCATTTCCCTCTAATCCTTGCAGGGTTTTAATTTATAAAGCTATATAATGCTTTCTTTGAAGGCAGGGCTCTTGTATTTGTCAGAGCAAGAAAAGGTAGATGCTATCGGTCAGCCTGGCCCTGAAAACCTGTATAACACCATGACATCACCTGCTTCAAATGGGAAAAGGCTGACTCACCAAGGCAGGACAGGAGAGTTTTTACTGCAACAGATCAGGGCTCATACGGAAAGCAGGGAGAGCAGAAGGTGAGAGAATGGCAATTCCCTCTCAGGAGTTAAGTCAGCTGCTATGTGCTAACTTCTTTCACACAAAACCAGTTGTCGTCGGTTTGTCCCACTGGAAAAATCCCAAACAACAGCATAATTCTGAACAGAAATCAATCTTTTCAGCCTCCTCTTTCCTCCAGCCCATCTCCTCCCAGTACAGTAATCTGTTCCTCATCTTCTGTGCTTCATTCCCACATGGTTTCTGAGTTGTTTTTCCTGCTAATCTACCCACCAATTGCATTTTTCAGGCACCCTTAGCTACAGAGTGAAACATATGGGATGGAGGGAAGGGAGAAATTATTGGCAAGTTTCACTTTACAGTGGAACTGAATTTCCTTTACGGTTTATTTTATAAAATACCATTAGAAAAATAATATCTCTAACCATAAACTTTCAAAGCTGGTATACTCAATTGGTGCACTATCATTACACCACGAATGTAAAGAGAACTCCATTAAACCTTCAGTTTTTCCAGCAAAGTGTAACTACAAAGTTGAGTGGCGCTGTTATTGCTGTAAGGAAGGTGCATCACCACCAGCTTGTCCCTGTCTAATGTCCTGCACATCACTGGCTTGCCAGGGCTCTGTCCCCCAAACCTCCATGTGGACTCTGCCACTGGAACTTCTCAGGTCATTTGCTCCTGGATCCTCCTTTTTAAATCCATGCCAAGGAGACTTGAGAGGACTGACAGAATAGACCAGCTTATGCTTAATGCCATCACCTCATGCATTGTATTTTATGATATGCAAACAATCAGAGAAAATCCACACTTCATTCAGGTCTAGTTGATAATTCATGTCCACACTGTCAGGGAGTAGAGGGGGATCTGGTTTTAAAGAGAAGGTGGCTTTGCTGTGTATAATATAATGTCTTAACCCAAAGTTGTAGGGATTAATTAAAGCTAAATTTATTGGCTTTCCCAGAATGATACCATTTCCCTTACACTGCAAAAGGAAGCGTCATCAGTCCACACTCACCACGAGTACCAAGCTAAGGAAAGACAAAAACGTTATTTACAGCAAAGAGGTTTTTGCATTACAAAAATTCAAGCAAAGCTGGTTACAAACCACGGTAAAAATAACAGGTCCTTTGTCACATGGTGGCATTATTTAACATGCTCACGCTCACCGAGTGGCTTTTTCCAGCCACATTACAACTCCTTGAAAATAGAGACTTATAACTCGACTCAAAACAGACTGAGTGGCCATGACTGTGACTACAGGAGGAGCATCATCATCCACATCGTTAGTCACATTTGGTAAGTGGCAGTCTGGTCTGTAACTTGTGAAGTTAACAAGACCTCTACCATGCGAAGCCTTGCAATTTCCTTGATTTTATGGTGCTGCCTTTCAGATGGAGAAGATAGCAGCACTGATTGAAGCGGCACAGCATGACAGCGACAGCTAGTGAATTCAGCTCACAGCTAAAGGAGAAGGGAAAATGCACTAAACATCGTAAAATCACAGAAGCCTGCCGTGGCCTTAAGTACAGGCCAACCTATTTTTCAGTCAATGTAGTTCTCCTGCTGGGCTACTGTGGAATGTAACACAGAGTAAAGTTTAATAAAAACAATCGAGAGATTTTACACATAGCTAGGAAAAAAAACTCGGTGTGAGAGCTTTTGCTTGCCTCATATACAATCCTTTCCCAGCCTGAATCACCAGCCAAAACCTAAATAAGCAAGAATATACCAAACGGAGCAGTAAGATGGTCAGAAGTTACTGAATTTTCCAGTTTTCTGAAAAACAGACTGTCTGTCCATTGTAGTAACACTGCAGTAACTCCACAACTGACTGACATGAACAAGGATTCTTTATGTGCCTGAACTGCACCATACATCTCTGTGCTCTGCCAGTGCCAGCTGAATTAGTCTGCTTGCCCCACCACAACCCCTCATCCTGGCCACTGCACTGGTCTGTGGAGAAGCCTTGCATCCATCAAGGCAAGTTTCTCTAAAGCTGATCAATCCAATGGTTTTGTATCATGAAATTTAAAGTCTGCAGCTTACTCGAAACAGATGCAGAAAAAAGTGTGTGAGTCCATACGCTTATCCTGAACTTTTCATCAGCTGCTAAGAGCAGTAAAGTTTCCAGTCCTGTGTCAGCAGTACGTTGTATACTAAATAATTTCTAACACACAAGAATCAGCCCCAAACCCACCCATCTGCTAACTTAACAATAAATTCCCTTCCTTGCTCTTGTTCTGTGAGTGCGTATGCATGCTTCACACAGATTTTACAAAGAGCCTCTGGATGAGGATTGTGTTGGGAGATGCATTAAACCTTACCTGTCATCGGCACTGCGGAGAGACGGGAGACGGAAACTGGTGTTCCTGTCCAGCTTTGACTGACTCTTTGTCCTCTTGATGGACCCTTTCAGGCGTTTGCTGAAGAAGCCCTGAAATGAGAAGTTGCAGAAGTGAAACAGGGAAACTGATGCCAGTAATAAATCAATCAATGCACCATCACCGAGTCCAAACTCTGCAGTGATGCCGGTTAACGACAATTACAGAACTTGTTGTATTGGGATCCCTCTGAGCAGGAAGAAAGGCAGAGCTGGACTGTCAATGACAGTTCCAGCACATGATAGCTTCCAATGGCAATAATTAGCACTACTCACATTACAGGTGCACTTCAATGAATTCCAGCTATTCCACAGGAGACCCCAAACCCCACAACTATCATTTAATAAGGAACAGTCTTAGATATAGGTATTTGTTTGTACCTCTCCTTTACATGCCACATTTTTAATTCTTGCTTAGATTAAGAGTACAAGATGTCTGTTACTGTGAGCTTCTCCTGCACCCACAGTTGCAGCCAGGTTTTCCTTTTTAAATTCAGATACAGCAGTTGAGTCTTATGATAATTTGTAATTTCAATAGTCTCACTCACTACAATTGCAAACTTCAAAAGATTTCACAGACTAGTGACTTCAGATACCAGTTCTGGTATCGCTTTGAAGAAAAGCTCAACTCAAAAATCTACCTATGATCTAAAAATGCTAAATCTTCAAGTAATCTGTCTTCTGAACTACAATTGTTCACCAAACAATCACAGAGCAAAGACATGTTAGCTGGAGGGAGCCTCTGGGGATCACCTCGCCTGCCTCCTCCTCGATGTGGGTGTGCTGCCAACACTAGGTCAGCTCTGACTTTGTCTAGCTAAGTCTCAAAAACCTCCGGTGATGGAGATTTTACCATCTCTCTGGGCAACTCAGTCCAGTGCTGCAGTACCCTTCCAGGGAGAAAAATTTGCCTTGTATTTAACAAAAACCTCCGAAGCAGCAATCTGCAGCTGCTGCCTCATTACAGCATCTGCCACTACGGAGAGAAGTTTGGCTGCATCGTCTTTGTCATTCCCCTCTCCGTCGCAGCAGCCTGCCTTCTATCACCCCTTAGCCTTCTCCTCCCCAGATAAACAAGTCCTCAACCTCTCCTCAGTGTTCTCTCCTTGTTGATATCATGAAGAACTACTACTGTGTTACCAGTAGTGAAATACAAATACACCTGACCACTGCTAGACAAAGGGGTGTGTGCATCTGTACATGTGGGGAAATCACAGGAGTATTTCAACACCTGCATGTTTGATTTTCTTCTCTAGCCCTTTAAATTACTTTGAGCATAATACACATTTTAAATAAACCATATTGTGTCAAAACATTTCCAGGGCTTGCAGACACATATGCACATCCATTCTGTGGCGTGATCAAAGCAAATACAGAGGTACTTAATCCAATAGGATTAAACAACATTTTACTGGACAAAATCTGTTCTGCTCCTTCACAGAACAGCTGCACAAAGCCACCAAACCCTGAGCACTGCTGTTGGCAGATTTAACCACACACACAAGTGAAGCCACGTTTGTTAAGAATATTATAGATTGGTTCTAGGTTAGAATTTGTTCCAAGTGAATGTTCTTTTGGTGTGGATTGAACCAGCAGATCTACAGCCGTACTTTAGTAAAGGTCTAGTGACAGCGATAGCCAAGTGGGGCCAGTCCTCCCTCCCATCACCCGTGTTTTGCTAGAAGAGAAGTTGAGTACAGCTACTAATTTTAAACACATTGGCAAGGCAAACCTCCACAAGCTGCGTTTGGGACAGGTGACAGATGTTGCCCACAGCTGCCTCCTGTAATACAGAAATCAGCAAATTAGAGACAAACAAGGTCTCCTGTTCTTTCCTACGCCGAACACCGACAAAGCCAGAGTGCTTTATTGGCTCCAGGGGACTCAGCCAGGCTGAAGTCTGTGACTTGTTCATCTCTCAGACTCATAAGAATTAGGCCGTCAGAATAAAAGATGGCTCTATCCGTAATATTTTAGTCTGAAAAATCTCACATCTCTTTCACCTCTTCAGGAAGAAAATGAGGTTTACCTACAATTGCACAGGGTGCTACATAATTTCCTCTACACTCCCTTTCCCACAAAAGGTTGGACCAGGAGATCTTTTGAGGTCCTTTCCAACCTGGGTTGCTCTATGATGCTACAGAATTAAAAGGAAAGGGCTATCACCCTCTTCTCATCTGTGGATGCCAGGCTAATTGTTGGAAAGAAGTTGCTTCCAAAGAGCAAAGCCCACACGTGTTCAGGTTCAAGACATAAACTGGAAGCATCTCTAAACCAATTTTCCAGTCTCGTATTTGCCTTCCCAGTGCTCCTTTTGCAACAAAACGTATCCTCTTCCCTTTAAACAAGCACACCCTTCAACATTCCTCTACTTTTCCTCATTCTGTTGTTCTTGGGTCTTTTTATATTTAGTTTGTCTCTCTTTTTCCACACAACTCACTCCTCCCTGAAACCGCACAACTCCCCTCTCCGTCCGCACTGGTAGGTAGGTTCTCTCCTTGCACTTTTTCCTCGCTCTGCTTCTTTTGATGAATGACCAAGTGAGTCCTGCTCAGTTGTCAAGTGTACACATGACATCTTCAGCAAATACAGCAAGACAGCCTGTCTCCTCTCTTCTTGTGAGAGCTGGATGGTGATATATGATAGAAAACCTACCCACACCTGATGCTGGCTGTAGGATCTTCCCAGCACGTGCAGATCATCCTCTCCCAAATACTTGTGTAGGAAACAACCTGCTCACACACACCAGAGCCTGACACGTGCCTGTCCACGGGCAGCACAGAGAAACTGGGATGCCCTGTGGGACGGTGCTTCAGGGGATGAACAAAGAGGGATTTTGTTTTCTGCATCTGAAAGGAGTGCTACATTTAAGGCTGCCCTTCAATTTCTGAGGCTTGCCAGTCAGCAGGCTCCTCAGGGGTGAAAGCTGCTGTATTCTCCTGAAATAGGAAATAAAAGTGAAAAAGAAAAGGCCTGACACCTAGCTACTACAAAAAACCACCCCAAAAATCTGCGTAGCACGCTGGGGGAAAAGGTACTGCCAAAAAGGAAGAAGTGTTTTGAGTTGTGTGTGCCACTCACATTCTACCCATGTTCTGTGTTTGGTCCTGGTATTGAAAAAGTGCCTTTGAAAAAACCCCTGTAAATCAATAGATGCTCTTGAGCTTCTCTTGGGGCCATTGCTGGAATTCAAGTAGAGGATGTATAGCACTTTCAAAGGCACTTTCGGATATTCTGACCTCTCAGCATAAAAGGTAACAAACCCAACTGCAGGGATTCAGATCTGGTGGACTCTGGCTTCATTCCAGTATCTCTCAGGCTACTCAAATTGCAAGCACGAAATAACATGTTTTTTTTCTCCCCTTAAGGGCAAATAAGACAAAGCTGACCCAATTCAGCAGGGGTGCAAAAGTATTTCTAGTGAATCACTCCAAATCCCACTCAGCAAGGGACTGTGAATATTCATTTGTGTGTGCATGCATGAGTTTAAATTGGCGTCGCTTTAACGTTAGTGAAATATGTTCTGGGTTTAATTGAACATAACCTATTCCCTAATGAAATATATATGCTATCTGGGGCTGAATAAGGCTATTCAGAGTTGATTATACAAAAAATAAATTTAAAAAAAAAATTAGGGTAAGAACATACTTAAGGATAAAAATAATTCAAACAAAGAGTGTACTTCTTGGTCATCCTCAAAAGACTTGAAAACCTTTGCAATATTTGCTCTCTGCACCTTGCTGGCAGCTCACGCAGGGCCAGTGCTTACAGATGGACAACCTGGGAGCAGCATGAAAAACTCACACGTGCCAGAACTGAGCAGAGCTTCTCGCTTTTGCCAAAGGAAATGGTTTTAAATACTGAACACAGATATAAAAAAAGATGTAGTGCTGAAAAATAAACTTCTACCTGCAACAATACCATCTAACTGAAAGCATTTCCCCCTTTTTTTAGGGAAGAAATCCCAGCCAATGCTAGTAACTGGAGCTTGCACCACTAAAAAGACAAAAATCCCCCTTGCTTCTTTTCTTATTGTCTAGGTGTTTCTCTTAAATACTTATTTCAACACAAAATACACTGCTGTTTGGTTCTTAGACCTAAATGTAACAAAGTGTCTGAGCTTCAAGAATCATCATGGAACATTTTTTAAAACAGTGGGAATTTTACTGCTTAAACAAACACCCTCAGACAAAAAGATTATTACCCAAACTAACAGAAATTATGAAAATATGTTCTTAATAAAAAAGCACAAAATATGTGGTAGGATAAATTAGCTAGATGCACTTTGAAAAGATCAGTACTGCTTAAACACAGTATTTTAAGAAGAGCCCAGTGAGAGAATAACTGCAGAAGAACTGTGCCTTAATCCCTCAAGAGCCAGACTTGATGGTCCACACCCCATGGGACAAAGCTCGTTACAAATGTCCCTCAGAACCACAGGTTTAGGGGAACAGAGATGGAACAGAGAGATGGGGGGCAGAGAGAGTACAGGCACGTACTCAATCAGGCATGTGGAATAGGTTCAGAGCAGGTTCATCATCTCAGCCAAAAGCATCAAACACTGGGGTAAGAAATCCCAATGATACAACATCTAAAAATCATTCAATCCCACTAAGAATTCTATTCATCTCATTGGGAAGTTAAGCAACTCATCTCTCTCACTCTGCCAAGGAGAAATTGCCACAGGAGAAGTGATGAATTCAGCAGGCTTTTGAAACACCCCTCCAGAGCTCCACGGGGAAGGTACAGAAACTCTGTCCACCACATATTTTAAAATCAGGGATGGTTGTTGGGCATGCCTGCATAAATTCAGGGCAGCTCTGGCTTTCGGAAATGCTCACTCCATGTCAAAGATGACAACTGTCTGTCTGTCCTTCATCTCAGTAGAGCAACACATGAACTGCCCAACAAATTCAAAGACAGCCCAAGTAGGAACAACTCAACTCTTCCGCCTCTTGTACCCCGTAGAGATGCACTGATTCTTCACTCTGGAGAGAGCAGCCCATGCATAATAAATAACGATTCTCTTTGTTGTTTTTAAAGTGGAAAGTTAA